CTTGATTTAGTATATTTCTGTCTAGCGAGGACAGGTGCCATTCAAATGTTGAGGGATGATGCCAGTTTGGAGAACTCACTACAGTGGGGCCTTGACTTACGAGTGTCCCGACTAACGAGTTTTTTGAGATACCAGCTGCCTCTCGGCTGATTTTTTGCATTGAGTTGATAGAGTAATTTGAGTTAACGAGCTCCTTAACGAGCTCCGTCTCGGAACGAATTAAACTCGTAAGTCAAGGCTCCACTGTATATAAAAAGCACTTGGTTGCTTTTGGCATGAAAGATGCAGTATAAATTTAAGTATATGAGAACCCCAAATTCTATTTTTATTGATAAATTCTCACAAAATGAATGTCTGCTACTTAACTTGAATAAGCATTGATTTTTAAAAAATGCATTTATAGCTGTTTAAGATATAAATAAAAATTAGGGTTTAAAATATGGATAGAAATCAGAATAGAAGTAGACACTGTAGCAGAAATATACCGTATTTTTCCGTGTATAAGATGCTATTTTTTTCTAAAATCGTTAGACTGAAAATCGAGGGGCATCTTATACACGGAATTCAGCCAAGGAGGGAGCCGCGCAGGTGCATAGCTACCCATACCTTGTCAAATAGGCTTCCTCCAATCACGAGCCTTATTGTTGCTGAAATCAGCTGATGCCGTAATTGGTGGTGGAGGTGGAGAGTGCGCAGATGCAACAGGCACCAAGCGTTCTGAGCCTTTAAAGATACCAAAAAATAAAAAGATAAATACCAGTAATTTTACTCTGCAAAATTCAAACTGAGTGTAAACAGCTATGCAAAAGAGCATGGAAAGAGAGCTGCAGAGAGACAGTTTGGACCTCTTCCCACTGAGTGTTTGATCAGACAGTGGAGAAAACAGGAAGAACAACTCCTTAAGATGCCAAAAAAGAAGAAGGCCTTAAGAGGAAAACCAGAAAAATGTTTAAAATATTGATTTCTTAATTTTGAGTTGGAAAAGTGGGGGGCGTCTTATACACGGAAAAACATAATTATCTTTGTATTAAAAATGCAAATTTAATATTATAAGAACATACCTAGGTAGTTATGAAGGTATTATTCTAAATCATAAGGCAGGAATAATAAAACTTTGATCTTCTTTTTCACTATTTCTTTCCCAATTCATTTCATTCTCTTTAGTGTTGTTGATGTCAGGCAAATAATTTATATAACCCAAGTAAGTTTGAGTCTTCAAGATACAAGCTTCACCTTCTTTAGCTGAGATAAATTGTTTATTTTCTGATAAATAGATAATTCATTTTATTGTGATTGGTTTTATTCACCAGTTTTGCCTTGTCTGTTAACAAAGTATTTTTCTTAACATGTTAAAGGTATGTGCCCATGCTGTTGTGCTTTATAAAACCCTTATTTATTTTCTGAAACAGTAATATTAAAGCAGTTTTAAGAGTACATTTTTTATTATAGTTATTATAACTAATTTTATTATGAAAAAGTATTCATTATTATACTTATTATTACATTAAATATTTCTGGTTCTCTAATCAGGCTGTAGGAATTTGTATTATCTGTTAGTAATAGTAGCTTTACTCTCTTATTCCTAGATTTTGTTTTTTTGTGTGTGCTGTATCTAAATTCTGTATAATTTATTTTTCTGCTCTTTAAATCTCTTTAGTCAAATACTCAAGAGTTGAATAAAAAGAAACCTTTCAAACCACCAAAGGGAAATGCCTAGCCATTTTAAACAAAGGAGGGAGGATTTTAGGCTCTTTTTTTTACTTCTTAATTAAAATTTACCTTTGGGTAGGTTTTTTGCATCTGTGGTTGTTGGGTATCCAGAAGTTGCAGTTTAGTGTGTAAATTTTCAGTTATATTATTTTTAATAACTTACTTTAATAAATTTTTAATTTAAATTCTTTATTGTTTAAAGTATTACATGAGTCTCCTTTTTCCCCCATTGACCTCTCCCTGGCCGCTTCCACCCCCGAGCACATGCCATCACCCCCCCCCCCCTACTGTCTTGTGTCCATTGGTTATGCTCATATGCATGCATACATAGTCCTTTGGTTCACCTCTTACCCCCTCACCCCCCACCTTCCCTCATAGTTTGGACAATCTGTTCGATGCTTCTGTCTGGTTCTGTTTTTGTTCATCAGTTTATGTTGTTCATTATGTTCCACAAATGCGTGAGATCATGTGATATTTATCTCTCTGACTGGCTTATTTCGCTTAACATAATGCTCTCCAGTTCCATCCATGCTGTTGCAAATGGTAAGAATTCCTTCTTTTTTATAGCAACGTAGTATTCTGTTGTGTAGATGTATCACAGTTTTCTAATCCACTCATCTGCTGATGGGATATTTTAATAAATTTTGAGGTCCTTTATACTTGGTTAGAATGACATTTTATGATGATTTGTTTGGCAAAGGCAGAATAGACTTTCATCACCTATTTCTCGTTTATAGGATTCCTTAAAAGTAGACTTTCAAATTAATTTTAAAAGATTTAATGTAGAAAAACTCATCTTTGAAATCAGATATACTGTTATTCATAGTAAATGTAAGATATATGTGAAGTGGAAATTGGGTAATACCTATTTCTCAGGAACATGCTACTAAAAAGTTTTGTATGCATATATAATTTTCTTTGTCTAAATTTGCTTTTCTTAGTAATCTTGTAGTCCTGAAGTTTCCATATTTTATAGACATTTTGAACTCTTTTAGTAAGGTATCTGATTGCTTTTATCTTGACTCCATCTTTTAAAATAGGTTTAAGATTAACTAGTACACACAGATTTAGCTCCAAAGCAATCCTTTTAGTAGCCATTTTTCCTTATAACTAGGGATTAACACATCAGTAAAATGTGTTGGCTTATTTTCTACTCCAGAAATTAAGGAATTGATCATACTTTTAAAGAACATGCCATGATTTTGGAAAACTTTAGAATTTTGAAGATTTTACTGTGTGTATGTGTGTTTGTGTGTGTGTGTGTGTGTGTGTGTGTGTGTGTGTGAGAGAGAGAGAGAGAGAGAGAGAGAGAGAGAGAGAGTGGGGGGAGAGGAGGATTACATATTTCTCTTTAGAAAATATATTTTGGAGCAGGCCTGATAGCCCTCTCCCCTGACCCCCCTCCCAGAATTTCATGTCTTAGATGTGGGCAGTAAAAGAGGTTCATTTTATATATTTAGTATATTTTAATTAATCTCGGATTAACATTTCCTCTATATTTTATCACTTTGTGTTTAATTTTTCCTGGCATGCACCTGGTAAAATATCATTTGTTTTAGAGTTTAAAATTAGGGTAGCCTGTTGACTTATCTTTCAAATTTAGACTTAGTTTATATGTATACATAAAATATGGGCTAAAGTATGAACATACTGAATTATTTCTTTGGTTGACCCTATTGGAAGTTGAATTCAAATGATATCACTCATGTTAATGGTCATTGAATCTTTATTACACTCAAGCATGTTGAATTTACTGGCTGGTGTGCTCAGTGGTTAGAGCGTCAGTTCTCTCGGGTTCATGGTCAAGGGTGAGTACCTGGGTTGCAGGTTCCATCCCTACCCCAGTTGGTGTATGCAGAAGGCAACCAGTCAATGTGTCTCTCACATCATTGTGTTCTCTCTCTTTTTCTCTCTCTGACCCCTTCCCTTTCTCCCTTTCACTCTTTCTTAAAAAAAAAATCAATGGAAAAAATATCCCCGGGTGAGGATTAGCAAGAAAACCACAATTTAATAAAATAAAATATTTATTAAAATATTTAAAATAAAATATTCAGAAAAATATTTAGGATATTCATTTGTTTCACATGGACAAAAATATAGACCATTTATGAATTCGAAATACAGTCTTATGTTCTAGTAGTTCCCTTTTTTTTTTTACATCCTCACCCGAGGATATGTGTTTATTGATTTTGAGAGAGATAGAGAGAGATATCAATGTGAGAGGGAAACATCGATTGTTTGCCTCTGGTACTGACTCCCACTGGGGATTGAAACCACAGCCTAGGTATGTGCCCTGACCAGGAATTGAACCCACAACCTTTTGGTATACAGGACGATGCTCCAACCAACTGAGCCACCCAGCCAGAGCTGTTTTAGTAGTTCTTAAAGCCAAAAGTACCATGCCACTTGAATATATAAAATGTGACTTACTACATTGATGAAGAAATTTTTTAATGTAATCGTATGGCAAAATATATATTTTTTAATATATTTTATTGGTTTTTCAGAGAGGAAGGGAGAGGGATAAAGTTAGAAACATCGATGAGAGAGAAACATCGATCAGCTGCCTCCTGCACACTCCCTACTGGGCATGTGCCTGCAACCAAGGTACATGCCCTTGACCGGAATCGAACCTGGAACCCTTGAGTCCGCAGGCTGATGCTCTATCCACTGAGCCAAACCGGTTAGGGCTGGCAAAATATTTTTAATATAATGTAAGTTACTACTTTGCAGGCATTGGGGCCTCTATTGCGTTTTTCTTCTATTTTATTTTTTTTCCATGTATGCCTTGCTTATAAGTGTTTTTCTGGTCTTTACTCTGTTACTTAAATATATGGTACCATATTATTGAGAAAATGTCTTAAATGCTTACAGTAAAGGAAGTGATTAATTTTGGAATAAAGGCAGTTTTGACCTTTATACTGGTAGAAGTGGTTTAAAGATATTAAATTTGAAACTTGTTGCTCAGTTTTGAGGTAGTCTCAACTTCCCAGTTCTCTAAAATGTCTTAGGATAGTTTGGTAATGATGCATATTTGACAATAAAGGCAAATTTTGCATGTTTCTGAGGTTAAACTCTGCAAATGAAATTAAAATTCAGAAAATTGATTAAAAAACTCCCTTGGAATTTATTTATACCACCCCAAAATATGAAAACTAAAAAACACTGTAAATCTTTTCAGTAAAATATTCTACTCAGTAAATGAAAACCCTGTGGAATAATGCCTAGTAGATTCAATGTCTTTTTTGGGCTTAAAGTGTGTTAACTTACTATATTTGATTTTTAAATAGACACCAAATCCTACTGCAAGCGAGTTTATTCCTAAAGGAGGATCAACCTCCAGGCTGAGTAATGTGTCCCAGTCAAATATGTCTGCCTTCTCTCAAGTTTTCTCTCACCCATCCATGGGAAGTCCTGCTGCTGCTGGATTAGCACCAGGTAAGTTGGGTAACTTTCCAGTGAGTTCCAGATATTAAATCTGTAAGCACCATTTGCTGTTAGTTTATCAGAACTGAAATTGTATACTTGAATGATTCACATTTGAACACATTATAAGTTTTATGTTCTAGACTTTAGTAACAGAGTTGAAAAATTAAAAGTGAAATTTAAATATGAAAAAAGAATATTTAAGCTTGTTTAATAGCACAGAAATAAACTTGAAGAAAATGGTTATTTAGGAAAAATATCTATCTGAACCTCAGTATTTCCCTTTTTTAAAAGTCAGTGCTATTTCACTCAAAAACTTCTGTAAGAGCATAAGAAATAAAATATTGATGAGTATGTGTGCCTCACAATCCTTTTGTATTAAATTTCTAAAGAATAGCTTATTCTATGTAATTCAAAATATAAGTTTAGATGTACTTCTTACCTTTCAGATGTTTGATTATAAGTCTAACAGTAATTCTTTTTAATCCTTACTCGAAGATATGGTGTTCTTTTTTTAAAAAATATATTGATTTGAGAGAAAAAAAGAGAGAGAAACATCCATCAGTTGCCTCCCATATGTGCCGCAGCCTGGGTATGTGCCGTGACTGGAAATGGAACCTGGGAAGACAATGTTCCACCCAGCTGAGCTACTTGGCCAAGGCTGTAATAATAATTTTTAATTGGGTAAAGTATTATAAACAATAGTAGAAAATAAATAGTAGGAAAGAATGTATTAGGGGTCACTGAGGTAGGCAAAACAATATTTCTCAGTCATTTTCTCTCAAGTTTACCTATAATGATAGAATAATTTGAACAAATGCACTTAGGGGTTCTGAGGCATGGTTCATAGTGACCCTTTGAGAACTCTATTTTTTTTTTGAAGTTCTCTGTTTTATCTTAATAATTCATTCAAAGTTTGCCTTCTGGTCCGTGACATAAGCATTTATTATAATAAAAATAAAAATTTCTTAGATAATTAACATCACCCATCTCTACTGCGGTGTATCTTAGAAAAGTAAGGTATGCAAAATTATATTGAATTTATCGTAAGTGCTGAGCAGGTTATCTTGTGTCTGTAAAATAAATGTTTGAGCTCCCCACACAGATTATGTTTCTAGAACCTGTACTGGACAATCATCACTTGGTCTTGAATGTTTCAAAAACAGAAACAGAATGAAATAAATGCACACTTAATGAAGCCCAACTATCTAGCTGGATCAGCCTGGAATTAGTACTGCCTCCAGGGCTTAACCAAATTATTAAGAGAAATCATTGGTTTTTATACTGATAAGGAATCAAGGACCTTTTGGGGAAGAATGAGGGAAGGTAATGATAACTTTATGGAACAGAGTATCTGGTTTAGCATGTAAAATATCAAATGTACTCAGGCTAAATAACCTTGTGCTGCCATGGGTTTTATCAATGCCTCCTTCCCCTACCTTTCTCTCCCACTCTTTCTCTCCACTCATCTCCCTCTTCTTTTCAGCCCCTTTCCCCTCACTTGTCCCCTTACCTTTTTTTCTACCCTCAGGTTTAGTTAAATTTGTAAACATTTTCCCTTCTCTAGAGAGCAGTGTCAGAATTGAATATTCCTGATAGCCTAAAGGTTTTACTTGTAAGTAATATGCTACTATGATTTTTCTTCCATTGAGGTGTGTTCACATTGTGTACATGAGCATAATCTCCATGTCAGCTATACATCTAAAATTTCTTAGAGATTGTCCAGATTTCTGAGCAGTGTATATAAAGCACCCACAATAATGGTATCCATATGCCAGTTAGTTGGCTTTTGTAATTAAGTACCAGTTTATTTTGGCATAACAATATATCTTCCCTTGTTTCAGAAATTAACATTTTGTTCGTATCTTTGATCAGACTTGTTCAAGCTTGCCATTAAAAAATAGGCTTTATAAATATTGGGGGAGTTAAAAATGTCAAAGACATTAGATCTTGAAAATGTTTAGTTTTAAAAATTTATAGTGCTGTGGTATTTAAGTGTTTTAATAGGTATTGTGTGTAGGTAGGTGTCTCATTGGCCCCTGGGGGTATTGTAACCTAAATTTGGGATGAAATTAATTAATTTAAAAATTAAAATAGGTGAGAAACTACTTATTTTTCTACATAGTTCTAATGTTAAAATGGTCCTTTTACTTCCTATTCATGAGAGTAATTACTGTCTGGAACCATTGGAAGTAAGTCAGTATATCATATTAAATAAATTCCTAAAATTTTTATACATGTTATTTAAAAATTGTTCTTCATTAAAATGAGAATCAACTAAGCTAAAACATTTTCCCAAAATACTGGAATGATGAATTGTTTTGCACTTATTATTTCTTCACAATTCTTTTAGTTAATGGCTTAACACTCTCTGGAGATGAGCAAAGAAAAAATTAAGTCTGACTGACTTTCAGGAAACCATTTACCCCCCCCCCCCCCAAATGTCTTCATTACTTTTTACCCACAAATGCTATTTTTTCCAAGGCCTGGGAAAGGTTATAAAATTTCTACTTTATTGTTGTAGAATAAAAAAGGTCATAAAGTTTACCTTAGTGATGATTTAATTTATCATTAGTGCTTCTTGTCTACTATAGGTATAACCTATTGATAATTTTGTTATAAAGTTTCATTTTCTTTTTTTCAACTTCTAGTCCAGATTATTATCCTTGAAAATATATCAAACTACTGTTTTTCTAAAATATATATAAATTAAGCCATAAATATTTTGACATTCAAAGTAAACTAGAATAATGTCATTTTTATTATCTATGAAAAAATGCATACTTAAATATATCTCCTGACCACAATGTAAACATATTTGAACAAAGTTCAGTAGATATTAAGATTCAGAATTTCCTCAAATTGTAAGAAACAAAAACACAATTCCAGGAACATAGTAGATCCTGAGCGAATCAAGTCTCTTTTTGAAAAACTTGTTTTGATTACTTTTAAAATGATTCATATTTTAAAAAAAGTTTTAATGCAACAAGTGAAACTTTAAGTAAAAGTTATTTTAATTTATTTATAGCTAATTAGACTTAAAAGTATTTAGAAGTATTAAAAATATGGAGCCCATGTTGTGTTTCCATTGAATTGTATACACAACCATTTTATTCTATTTTAGTTTAAGAAATCAAGGATTTATAGTTTACTTGTTTTATGCACATTTAACCTAAGAACAATAGCAAAATTTTAAATATCTTCTATTAAGGTAGTTGTTATATGAGTATGTGATATGGCATTTAACTTGGGCACTTTTCTCTGGTCACAGCTTATATTATCCTGATGTTCAAAAGTTAAGAAGCACTGGTTTAACACAGACTTAGCAAAATTTATTTCAGTTTATTTCCAGAGCATGTTATAGTAAGAGTACTTTTAAAGTAATGCATAAGTCTAAAGATATATTTTTCTAATAGCCTTTGCTTTAGGCAAACAGTTTTTGAATAGATTTTTAGGAATGAAAATATGATCATACTAAGTATATGAAATAATAGTTTATGCTTTAATTTTTTTGTGCCATGAAAATAATTTTATCATGAGAACCAATTGCTGAAAGTTTTTCTTAATCAGAATTTTTCCTAAGAGTGTGTTGATTTGGTAGTAGACTTAGTAAACTAAGTCTTGATGTGCTGTAATTACCTCAAAATTAGCCACAGTCTATTTGAAAGTGTTTAAGAGAGGTAGTAATAGGAGCATACAGTTCTGGATGGTATATGATATATCATCTGGCGGCTTAATGTGCAATTTTGACTCAGAAATTGAGCATCTCTTGTTCTGCTTAATTGTGTGTGGACACTTGTGAGGGGCAGAGGGGAGTTCTTGGACTTGAAAATGCCATCATTGATTCATAAATGAAAGAGCTGTAAGTGACTTTGTTCTTTCAAGATAAGGATGGTACAGATATTTGGACCATTTGATACACTTTATTGTAAATTATTATGGCAAATCTCAGATGATTGATTTGGGGAAAAGCATTTATTTATATTAAACTTAAAATTATTAAATAATTGTATTCATTTATTATGCTTTTAGATCCAGATATTGAAATAATGAGTCATTTCTTATATATTCCTGAGGGTACCAGATTGATGGGGTAAAATTGGCTAATATTCCTTAATATATTTTTTTGGCTTGTTCAAGGTATAGTGAAAAGGGAAAATTTATATTCATTATTCTTGTTTACAAATATTGAAGTATTAAACTGTATATAATACATTATTTAAAATAGAGTTATTTATTTGTACTATTGAAAGGTTTGGATTAGGAGATTTCTTTTACCTCTAAAGTTCAATACATTAGCTCTATAGCATTTCATATCATAGATTAATACAATGGAGGCTTAATTGAATTCAATTGCATAGTAGTTGGCTTATGTGGTAATCTAATATTGGTTATTGACCCAGGTGGAACCTTTGGGGTTTACATAGTTCAGCCTTGTGCCAGTTTAGAGGTGGCATTCTTGAAAGATTATAATCTAGCTTGTGCTTTGTCGTTTATAGAATGTACATGGCAGTCCAGTGTACATTTTTATAGTTTGAATAAAATAGAAAATTACATTGTATTTGAATTAAACTCTCTCTTGTCTTTTACCTACTAGTCCTAATTCTTTTTCTTTGTATTGAATGGAATAAATAAAAATCATTTCTGCTTGATAGTCCTTTCGATTATTATTATTTTTTAGGTTAGTTGTTTGTGTGTGTGTGTCCATGTAACTGATCTCTTTGTATGACTGAAAAACAAGAGAGAGAACAGACTAAAAAAATAATTGCTAAAATTAACAAACTGGTATAGGTAAAAAATCATGAACTGTTGTAAGTCATAATGGCTGGAACACTAGGTGGTTAAAATTAAATCTACAGGCCTTTCTATCTCACTGTATCACTACTCTGATATCCAGCTAACGAGTGTACATACTATTAGGAAAATAGGACACTCTGTTAACAGTCTTATAGATGGTGAATATCTAAGTTCATATTTAAAGTGTATCTTAGTCTCTACATTAAAATCACTAA